GGCTGTTTGGATTTGCGTGAAAGGAAAAGGGTATTGTTGATTTCTCGAAGATGTTCGATGAGAAATATTTTGCTCAAGAAATTTATTCATTCGAAACTCGATCTTGTTGCTTTCTTTTTTTAAGCGAATATTCTATAACATTATTGTTGCATTATATTTTTGTGGTTGTTGTATGTGCTATATGTGTTACATTATTTATTGTATATACTTACAATGTGTCACATATGATATTTGTTATATGTATTATACGTCTGACATGTGATATTTGTTATACATAATATACGTGTCACATGTCATATTTATTATACATACCTATAAGTGTCACATGTGGTATTTGTTATACATATTATACGTGTCATATGTCATATTTGTTATACACACTTATATATGTCATATGTGATATTTGTTATACAAAATATACGTGTCACATGTCATATTTATTCTACACACTTATATATATCATATGTGATATTTGTTCTACATATTATACGTGTCACATGTCATATTTGTTATACACACTTATACGTGTCACATGTGATATTTGTTCTACATATTATACGTGTCACATGTCATATTTGTTATACACACTTATATGTGTCACATGTGATATTTGTTCTACATGTTATACGTGTCACATGTCATGTTTGTTATACACACTCATATGTGTCACATGTGATATTTGTTACACATATTGTACGTAACATTAAATGTAGTATTAATACTGTATTTATTAAATGAAAACTTAGAGTCATTTACCTGGTCAAACAATTTGAACAAATTAAAATAGATTAAACTTAAATCATCAAATCCCAACATTCTTATATATTTATATCTCCAAATCTTAGTTACCAGATAACAAAATATTCATATCCCTAACCTATTTTTAAATTTTTTAATTCTGGACCCATTTTTAAATTTCTACATTCATAACCTACTTTTACATTTTCAACTCTTTAGCCTATTCTTAAATTTTAAACTTCTTAACCCATTTTTAAATGTTCGAATTTTCGAAAGTTCATAAAAATTGAGTGAAAAGATCCTCTCCGGGCTGCCATATTTCCTCTAGGGAAGTAAGATTCGCTGTTGACTGTACTCCTTGGCTTTTTACCAAATAAAGCGACATCGATTCGCGAATTTCGCATTTCAAGCATTCTTCGTCCGCGATTTTACGTTCGGTTATCGGGGCTAATGAAATATAAACAAAGTGCAGTGGAACTATGTTAACGCTGATTGCCGTGCAGAAGATCAACAGAAAAACTACTCGTTCAGCATATTTTCCGATTGAAATCTCCTAGATAGAATTAGGCATTAGGAAATTTGATGTTTCAGCCGATTAAAAGAGGCCTTTGCGCTACGATCGAATCGAAAGCGATCAACCTACATTTTCATTTGCTTTCACTTACATTCCCGTTAATCTTCTACAAGTTCAACGTGAAAATTACTGTATCCTGTTCGTGAACAGCTTTTGAACATACTATTACATAATTCAATGAATGTAGAAATTAATAATTATTAGGGTGTCTCAAAAAATTTCCTTTTTTTAAATGCAACAGTACTAATATACATTATAATATAATTCAATAAATTTATAAGTTAATAATTGTTAAAGTATCTCATAAAAATGTTCTCCTTTTTCTAAATGAAACATTACTAATGCATATTATTATATAATTCAATGAATCTATAAATTAATAATTGTTAAGGTGTCTCAAAAAAATGTTCTCCTTTTTCTAAATGAAACACTACTAATGCATATTATTATATAAATCAATGAATCTATAAATTAATAATTGTTAAGGTATCTCACAAAAATGTTCTCCTTTTTCTAAATGAAACACTACTAATGCATATTATTATATAATTCAATGAATTTATAAATTAATAATTGTTAAGGTGTCTCATAAAAATGTTCTCCTTTTTCTAAATGAAACATTACTAATGCATATTATTATATAATTCAATGAATCTATAAATTAATAATTGTTAAGGTGTCTCAAAAAAATGTTCTCCCTTTTCTAAATGAAACACTACTAATGCATATTATTATGTAATTCAATGAATCTATAAATTAATAATTGTTAAGGTGTCTCAAAAGAATGTTCTCCTTTTTCTAAATGCAACACTACTAACATACATTATGATATAAGTCAATGAACCTATAAATTATACAATTAAAATTAATGTATACAATTAAAATTAATTGCGTCATGCAACGAGCGTAAACAACAGTAAACATATACAATTAAAGTTAATTGCATTGTGCGATAATTTTAAATAATTAATGTATACATAAATTTTGAATTAATAATGTGACATGATAATATAATATTTATTACCGTATATCAATAATTCCGAATTTATGGCGACACTGTTTGCGTTTCATCGTGGCACAATTATTGCACCCACCTATTCGTTACATTTTTATGTACTTTCGTCATTTGGGCATGAAAAAGGAATTATTTTAAATATTATTTTTCCATCAGCAATTGAAGTGAAAAACGAACTGCCTTTATTTCGAGCTTGCAGAATAATTTTGATTCGTGAAACGAGAATTAACTTTTTTGTATAAATACTTGAATAGAGAGTCCATTTATTTATAGGAAAATCGTGAGTGGAGTTTAAAGGTAGCACCCTGTATTTTCACGTATTTCACATATTTTCACCTGACCTTACAACTTAAAAACTAGATGGAGCACCCTATATTGTTTAAAACATAAATAACTCGCAGTTCTCCATTAAACAAAAGACATTTTCGTTTAAACCTCCTCTAAAGAAGAAACGATACCACGTAATTTATGTCGATGAAAATGTGATGTCCGAAACAAGGTTGAATTTTTCCAACCAAAATTAGTTGGTTCATATTGCTCGGTCAGCTTATCGTTTTACAATTGCCAGCAGCGTGAAAAGTTCATTATGGCTGTTAATTATTCAATTAATTATCGGGAGGTTCATTAATCAACTCACACCACGTTTTACACACCTCCAAGATATAATTCTACGCTCTTATCGATCGACGTTTCGACCAAACATCCATGAATTTTCGTTTACCGAAACGCAGTTAATCTTCGAATACAGAGGCAATTTTCCAATAACGACACATGCTTTGATCGTTCCACTCGAAATTATCGAATAATCGTTCCGTGATCATAATTTTTGGACGTTGCTGAAAAAATCGTCGTATTACGAATGTGATAGGAAGAAATTTTTAAGCGGAATTTGATCTGAATTTTGGGATTGAAAATGTGGAATTTCGAGTTGAAAATGTGAGCTACGGCTCGTTATTAATTGTAGACAATTTTTACATTTACATATTAAAAAGTGTCATGACGGTAGCATGACTGTATTACATCCCCGTAAGTCCAAAAATTATTGACCTTAACTTAAAAAAATCATACATTAAAACTTGAAAATTCTTCTTAATTCTAAATTCTTCTTACCACAATCATCTTAACACTAGGTTTACGGACGTTTGATGGTTATATTTAAATTTGAACTAAAGTAGAAAAATAAATAAATTCAGGATAATATGTGAACAGCCTAAGACATTCTTTTGCTTGATGAAAGTTGACGTTATTACAAAAATTTCTTAACAAGTTCTGTCATCTAAAATAATTATCCGTCATTTTGATGGGTTCCATAAATCTAGTTAATTATCTAATTTGCTGTGACCCTATCCATCCACAAAATCCACCCCGTTCGAAGAAACCCTATTTCCTCGAGAACCGCCGAAAACGAATGAACTCGTACAAATTTCGGGCAATTCTCAGCATCGATTTAAAAGCAAACGACCGGCGTGTTCTTTGAAATAGCGAGCGATCGTGCACGCGAAACGCGGTCGAAATTAATCCGAGGCATTGGAACGGAAAGAAGAGCGTATCAGGGGGCGGAAGTGCATCATTCTTCTGCAATGGTTCCCCCCGAACGAGGGTCGACAGCTGGTCGTTTCCCCGCCATTTTCCTCTTCCTCGCGTGAACCACGTGAAACGAGCACGTGGAAAAGAGACGCTACTCTCTGCTCCTCTCTCTCCAACCCTTCACTCCGGTGTCTTTCTCTCGCTTCTTTCCCCTAGCGTTCGCCCCACCTTCTTACTTTCGGATTCTCCCCACTGGTCGTCTTTTTTCGTCCGTCTCTTTTGATCCGTCTGTTTCTCTTTATTCCCCTCTCCCTTCTCCCTTTCATTGTCCCTTTCTCCGTCTTTGTTCGACCCGTTGTATGAGCAACGTGCAACATGGTCAACAGGTAGAGGAGACAGGTGGCCGACGATATATTCATCATGTCGGCTGCTTAGCGACGATCTTTTAAACCTGCACAGTGTCCACGATGACTCGGTACGCGAATCACTGTCACGTTTTTTTTCTACGATTGAAGTGATTTCGAAAGGTGTTTGTGCGAGGTGTATTTGCACCGTTGTGGAACTGTGTGTAGTGTGATTTTAATAACACATGTAGTTTGTATTTTAATAATACACACATGTGGTTTTGGTTTTAATAATAGTTGGAACATGTACGAAATTCTTGGAACATGTATCAAATTTTATGAGCCGAATTATTTAGGTGAGATTTTTGTGGATGTGCTGTTCTCTGAGATGTTTGGGATCTAGTGATTTGTGGGAGCAGGATGGTGGAAGTAGAGTGTAATTTGTGAAGAATTAGCGAGTGTCATTGCAGAATTTCTTGGGATTTTGTGTTACTTAGTTATTTATATCTATTTTTCTTTAATGGATTTATTCTTTAAGGTGAGACACCTTATCTGAGTTTTGATCATCTAGATTGTGATCTAGGTTTTGGAGCACACGTGATATTTTTAATTTCTGTCAAATTTTAATAAATACAATTGTGAGTTCTGTAATTTCTTATTCTCCACTTGGGTTTTATTTAATGATCTCTTACTTACTTATTTCAAATATCACACAAAAATAATTACGAAATTTTTTATCTGTGCTCTGGGATTTTTTCTATTTGTGACTCATTCTGAGTATTTCTAAAATTAGTATTTTGTCAAGTAAATTGCAAACTAATAGGATTCTAACCTTACCCAATAATAACAAGGTAATAGATCTTCAAAATTAGTGTCAGTGAAGTGCATAAAATATTTGTGAAATTGTTGTAAATGACATACTGCAAATTACCCTATGTGCATTAAAGTGATTAGTGAATGAGGACCTAAGAAGTAGGATTTCACCTATCTGAAGGTATGTATAACTGTAAATAATGCTTAATAATTATCAATTGTATCTGTACACCATCTACCAATAATGCTTCAATGATTACACTTAATTGATACTCACGATACAGTATCCTTGGCACCAAAATTTGTTCCTTCACTCATCTTTGTACAACTGTCACTTATCTCTTATTTTGTTATTTCTTATTTACGTTGACATTTTTTATTTTTACATAACAATTTGCACTAATAATATACTAACTATTATTTGAGAACTGTACATCACTAGATGTGATAGGTACAGGATATATTAACAAGTCAAAGTTTGTAAACTTTGAAATAGAAGAAATTTGAAGTAGAGAAATTTTGCAACGAAATATGAAGTTGATACAATTTCTTGTCCTATCATTTTTATTCTATAATTTTTCTATAATTTTTTGTATAATTTTTTGTTTAATTTTTTCCATAATTTTTTTCGATAACTTTTTCTACAATATTTTCTATAATTTTCTATAATTTTTTCTGTAATTTGTTCTATATTTTTTTCTATAATTTTTACTCTGTTCTATAAAATTTTAACCTTGGAAATTTTAGCCTATAATTTTTGCTTTATAATTTTTAACCCTGTAACAATTAACCTTGTTATCCTATAATTGTTACTCTATCACTTTTAACCCTATAACTTCATAATTTTGACCCCAGAATTATTTCAATGAAAACAGTAATTCGACCACAATATAAAATCTTTTCCCAAGTTAAAAATTCATAAGATTATCTCTTCAATAATTCAAAAATTCTAAAATGTATTAACCAGCTTTCAAGCATTCTCAAAATTATAATCGAGACACTGCTCGCATGTTACTCGATCAGTATTAGTTCCATCGAAAATGAAGGATTTTCCTAGCACCCTCGACAGTGGAAAGTGGAGCAAAGTGTGTTTCGAGCATCTTTTGTCGTTAGAACAGCATAGGAAGAACGAATATGTTCGTACATTGCCTAGATCGGAACAAGTGTTAATCGATATTTGTGTCAAGTATCTGGTATTTTGAATAGACGCGACAAAGAAATCCTAGCCTCGAACAAATGCAAGGTAGACTATTGTTGAACGTTGTTCGACATCGGATTTCGAGTCCCCCATCGTTGACGATGTTAATATTCTATGGGTGTGCCGATGCGTCATGGAACACTACGCCTCTTGAAACCCTCGAATCGCTCGTTTCGCTCAACAAATTTTATTTACAGTGCTATCAAGCTGGTCATTTGACCGGTTCACGAGTTTCTTGTTTCAAATTATAAAATGTTCACTGTTGCAGTAGTCACAAATAATACAAGTTGCTGCCCTTTGTTGTTAATATCAGATATGTTGCATATATAACAATTTCTTGAAGTTTGTTACACATATCATGTGTCTTATACATATTATAGTTTGTTAACATTTGTTATAAATATCACATGTGTTACATATGGTTTAGTTTGTTAACATTTGTTATAAATATCACATATATTACATATGTTATAGTTTGTTAATATTTGTTACAAATATCACATATGTTACACATGTCACAATTTCTTAAAATTTGTTACGAATGTCACATATGTTACACATGTCACAATTTCTCAAAATTTGTTACAAATATCACGTATGTCACACATGTTCTAATTTCTTAAAATTTGTTACGAATATCACATATGTTACACATGTCATAATTTCTTAAAATTTGTTACAAATATCACATGTTACACATGTGACAATTTGTTACATATGTCACAAATATTATAAATATTACAAATGTCTCAAATATCACACATGTCACAAATGACAAAAATTTTACCAATGTTACCAATTTATAACAAACATATGTGATTTTAAAAATTTGTAAATTTGAAAATTTCTAACTTTCTAAATTTTTAAATATGCAAATTACAAAATTTCTCAATTTGAAAATATCTAAACTACAAATTAGTATATCTAAATATCTAATAGTACATCTAAAGATCTATGCTAGCAACCTAAATCAAAACGCTCAAACTAGAAATCATAAAACTCGACAGCAAATCCTCGCAAAGATTTCTATAATTGACAAGAAAGTATAAAATTACCATTTAACGAGCAAACATCAGAATTAACGAGGATCTGTTCGCGCAATAAGTATTCTCGAAGAAAGAGAACGCAGTTTCTTGATATCTCGCGAAACAATGGTAATTCGTGTCGTTGTTATCCAAGTATTTATCAAGTCGTCCTGTCTCAGTACGACAAAAGAAGAAGAAAAGTAGAAGGATAAAAAGATCCTTTTTTCTTCTTGTTACACCATGGAAAAGCAGCTTGGTTCGTGCTCTTTCTTTTCTTCGCCCTGAGTATTTTTATTTTTCACTCGGTGTCTCCTTAACGTCAAGAAATCCAAAGGAAAGTTGCTCGTAAACGAAGCTTCAGCAATGGATCCTCGACGACACTAAAGTCTTTGAATGTCGTTTAATCCTTTCGATTTTCCAATTAACCACCGGTCAATTTATTCGCTTTACTGTCTCTCTGTTCTTTAATACTGACTTGGTGCAACGAAAGAATTATATGGATTACTTTGTAATTAAAAGAAAATCGACGTGATGTACTTTACGTCGTGAAGATGTACTTCATACACACTTTTCTGTAAATTAATTATTACTCGGTTTCTGTAGGTTTTTTCTTTTAAAGATTGAAAATGAAATAATGTAGTTTATATGCAGGGTGTTGTAACGCTACTCACGATTTTTCTCCCACTTGCAGCCACCTTACGAAAAAAAGTTTAGAACAATATTTGCAGGGTATGAAGTGCACAACAGATATCAGTAAAGCAAATTTTGAAAACAGTTTGTTCTCCTGACAAAGTCGAGGTCACCTCAGGTTTTTTAAATAGGAACATACATTTTTTTATTCATAGCTTTAGAGAACATCGAGACGAATTCAAAACACATATTACATGATATTTTTATTAACATATTACTCGATTTACAGGAGAGGAAATGTGAAGTTAGCTTTTGACTTTGATAGTGTAATTATTTGATTCCGAAGAGGTGAATGTAAACACTCGACTAGAATGTAAGAAAAATACACTTTATTTAATTATATGTTCAAAATGTATGTTGCCTTCTATCACGTAATATTCCGGTCTTTTACTTCACATTTCCACAATAGATTTTGTGACGAATATTCGTTCGAAAATAGCGTTTCCAAAATTGCATCAATGAGAAATTATTTCGCATTGTCTATGGTTAGAGGCAGTCTAAGAAATGAATTATTCAGCGTATGGTTATTGGGAAATGGTCTCTTACCAGAAAGAATTATTTGGTAATTTTGAAGTGAATTTTAAGCAGTTTTGAAAGAGATGCTGCTGTGAATTTTTAGATACGAATTTATTGGATGTTGTGAAAAATATATATTCGCTTTTTACAATTTTATTAGCAAATTAATTGTACAGAGAATTCAGTCGAATTCGATAAATAATTATATGAAAGTCGTAGAATTTAGAAACCTTGAATTCTTGATGTTTTTAGTGTTCAAAAATTAAAAGTGTGAAAAAGAAGTCCTTGAAATTTCTGTGCTTCAAAATTTCAAAGTTCTACAATTTCAATATTCCAAACTTCAAAGCCCCTTTCAAGACTCAAGATTTCCGAACTTTCAAGATTCCTAAACTCAAAGTTTGAAGTTGACATAGTTTCCAAATTCCAAGATCCCAAAATTTCAAGGTTCTCGAATGTCGAAGTTGAAGAATTTAAAAAATGCAAAATGTCCAAATCCTAAAATCAATGTCCTAAAATTGTAAAGTTGCAGAATCCTACAATTCTAATATACCAACACCTCAAAGTATCAAAGTCTTAAAATTATAAAATCATAAAATTCTAAAATACCAAGCTTCTAAATTCTAATATACCAACACCTCAAAGTATCAAAGTCTTAAAATTATAAAATCACAAAGACCTAAAATAACAAGCTTCTAAAATTGTAAAATCACAAAATTCTAAAACTGTAAGATTCTAAGATTCAAAGACCTAAAATAACAAGCTTGTGAAATTGTAAAATCACAAAATTCTAAAATTGTAAAATTCTAAGATGTCAAAGACCTAAAATAACAAGCTTCTAAAATTGTAAAATCACAAAATTTTAAAACTGTAAAATTCTAAGACGTCAAAGACCTAAAATACCAAAAAGTCCTAAACATACAAAGTTTAAAACTTCAAAAGTTCTAATATATCAAGGACCCCAAATACCAAAGTTCTAAAATTACAAAACCCAAAAATTCCAAAAGTTCTAACATTTTAATGTTCCAAAACTGAACTCCTACCAAAGTTCCAAAATATCAAGATCCCAGAATATCAACGAGCCAAAGTTCCCAAATTCCCTAATTATAAACTTCCAAACTCCCGAACTCCCAACCTCCCAGAACACAAAATCACAAAATTCCAAAGTCAGAGCAAAGCCCCAAAATACCAAAGTTCCAAATTATCTTAAAATCACAAACTGTCAAAACCACAAATTTTCAAAGCCCCATAGTTCCATAACTTCAAAGTGTTAAAATTACTAGCAAATTAAAACGTCGTTTGCCATTCAGTGCTCGATATAGGGTCACGTTTAATCGTCGTTTCACATAACGACGATAATGATGATACTCGTTACAGAAAATCGATACGTGTTTCGAAAGGTTTCCCATTTTCCGTGAAACTATCGGTAGACCAACGCGTTTCCATTATAGAGAATTACGTTTGATACAGCAGGTCGAAATATCAAACTCGGAAGTAGTCGGCGTACAAAGGAGAGTAGCTCGAGAACGAAGGAGACGAGTCGAGTTTACTCGTTCAAATCACGTATCTTGCTTTCTATTTATCTATCGACGGTCCACCTGAAAGGATTCGTTTAGCGTCGAGTCTGCAAAATTTATGACGGTTTGAAGGGCATCCATTTTCTTTTCTAGATGAAATATTCCTCATAAAGTATTCCGTTTGATACATCGCAAAAATATTGATTGGTAAATAACCCCACACAATTCATTTTTGTAATGTTACAGAGTTCAAGGCACTCGTGTATCAAACTTAAAGAAGTCTGTAATCATTTGCTCATATAATTTTATTTGAAGATTATCAACATACCAAGAACAATTGTATTAAATTATATACTGCATATAAATACTCTTCAGAACATACAAATATTGTAACCATTTAATATATTTAAATTTTTGGGTCAGCCATTATAGAAACTTAATACTCCAACAAATATTTGCAAGATCTTTAAATCTTATCCAGTTCACACTCTTCAAAAGATGAAAATAAAAATTGTAATCATTTAAGCTGTCTATGCTTAACTTGTCTGTATCAATCAATTACCATCAAACAACTAACTTCAGTACTCCAAAGCATAACATCACCAAATATTATCCTATCTTACAAGGATAGTATAATCCTATACTACAAACCATGAAAAAGAACCGCTATAATTAACTCACTTATATTTCTGTTTCAGACAAGTAAGCCTAAAGAACCAATTTCGATACACCATTCTACAAAAACCCATAAAAATGCAACCGAGTCGCTTTCACTTAAAAATGTTCAAAAACGCAATATAAACAAACAAGAAAGACTTGAAGTCGCGAAAATCCGAATGATCCCCAATCAGGATGGTGATCGCGAGCGAATCAGTCGAGACGATGTCTGGCACGTGCAGCAAGCTAAGAAGGTCCCGCAGGTTGTCATCGACCCGAGGTCTAAGGGTTCGAACAAGCGCAAACACTGATCAAACGGATCCACAGGATCTCAATCAGAAGCTCGGTCTGTGTCCCATAGTTAGCCGGAACGCGGGCACGAAGGGTCGTCCGGCGATCAATTGGGAATTGAACGAGAGGATCAGTCTGAGTAGCGGTTCCAGCGCAGGTTTACAGGTCCGCCCCGACGCTAAAAAGGGCATCGAGCTGAGCGGGAACCGCAAGACGGAGGCCGGAAAAAGATCCGATAAAACTAGCCTGGAGCTAATGAACGTGTCCGGATACCCGCAAGAGTGCGAGAAGAAGCGGAAGGACTCTTCGTGGTCCATCGAGATCGACTGCATAGAGCGTCCTAGTGACGAGAACGTGATCAAAAGCGACTCGAAGTACGAGATCGGTAGTCCCAGCGAGGGATCAGGATCGAGGAAGTCCGGGAAACAGAGACGACAGCTGGCGACGTCCACGAAGACCAGGAAATCGACGAAGAAGGAGGAGGACGACTGCAAATGGGGCGGAAAGAAGGTGGACAAAACGAACGACTCGATCTCGAAGCGGCTCGAGTTGATCCACGAGCTGAATCAGAAGATCCTGGCCAACTACGAGCGCTTTCAGCAGAAGTCCAAGTCCAGGAATCACTCGAAGGAGAGCAAGGTGTCGAAGGATCAGCCTGCGAGAAGATCAATGTCGAACGACAAGGAGGAGCACGTGTACGCGGAGGCTAGACGCAAAGGAAAGAGCGATGCCAAGGATCAGACGTGTCAGGACTCGAGGCAACGCAAAGTAGACGTCAACAAGCTCGCCTCGGAGCCGACCTCGAAGGAAAGCGACTCGACGGACAAGAGACGATCGAAGAGCACGTCGAAGTCGAGGACCGTTCGCGATAACGAGAACTTCATCATGACGGCCAGACCCGGTTTCCTCTCGGACGATAAAGAGAAGAGAGCGTCCTCGAGGACGGAATACGGCACGAGGTCGAAGAGGTGCGTTTTTTACTCCAACGTGGAGGGCTCGAAGCACGTAGACAGGACAATCGAGCAGGACGATTGTCTGGGGAGCTCCAGATTGTACCCCGAGAGCTACAGCGATCGCTCGAACGAATCGAGGACGAAGCCGGGGGTAAACCGTGACGCGGACGGAATCGCGGATCGATCCGGAGTCGATCAAGTGGCGCTGGAACACGAAATTCTGGAGAACCTGGACGAGACTATCGACAGATTCGACGAGTCGGTCCCTAAAGCGGAGCCGCGAGAGAAGCTCGACGGTTCCGGCGATTCCGTTCGAAGCGAGGACAACGAATTGACCGGGTCAAAAGTGTCCAGGCTTCAGGAGACGTTCAATTCCTCGTGGGACTCGGGAGTTGGCGTGGACGTTGGCACCGGAAGTGGCTGGGTCAGGATACACACGGGAATAGAGAGCAGCCTCGTCTATCTTACTCTGGATACCACCGCTAAAGACGTCTGCAGGGACATGCTGCTAGGCGACGAGCTGTCTCTGTTTATTCAGGTAAGCGAGCTTCAACTTTCTTCCCTAATTATTCATCTGATTTGCGACGCAAAGGGCACGCGTTTCAGCTTAATGAGAAAGTCTGACACGCTAATGAGCTAAGCTGCGACGTCTTTATGATGCGTCGGCGGCTTGCGGATTCCGGTTACGCGGTAAACGGGACGGGGTTAATCGCAAGGTTAATAATAACGTATCGACACTGCGGCTTTTGACTGTTCAACAAAATTGCTCGAAGTATTAACCCTTTACACTCGAAGAGACTGTTTGCAAACAGCAACTTTAAAACTTAGTTAACCTCTTACACTATTTTGACGAGTCTGACTCGTGACGCATTCATACTTCGGCTATTTTACTCGAATTTTGAATATTTCAATTTGGAGTTCAAGTCCAACTATAATTTGCATAGTCAACGACTACATGATAACAAATTCACATAACATTTCAAGTTTCTGTGTCTGTTTTCGTGTTATGGCTGAAATTAGTCAGTTCTCATTGACACACTTGACGAAAACATCATAGTGCAAGAGGTTAAAAAGTTAAATGAATTCTTTTGAGGTTATTATTTCTCTACTAATAATTTCCACTACTGTTTGTTTCACTATGTGTATACATTACATGTGTCATATTATAGAATCAGTTAAAAAATGCTTATTTAAAATTATTGTATTAAATAAAATGACGGAGAGTCGCCTCTCGAGTGCAAAGAGTTAAATTCTTGAATATTAAGTCCAGCTGTTTATTTTACTAACAGTAGGTTTTCTTTTACCAAAAGTATCGATCGCTTAGCACGGCGTTCGATCTCGCGATTAGATCAAAAGGACAAAAACAACGTAACCGATTCGGGAACAAAGGTATGACTGGTTTCTTTTGTGGAGATTTTAAGTTCCGAAGAAACGAAGTGAAACGTGATAAGAAAGCGCGATTTAAGGCGAGAAAGGATCGGTACAGAGAAATGAAAATGGGTAAAAACGGAGAAAAAGAAGGAGGAAGAAGAAACACGGGGAAAAAATGCAAGAGGTTTCAACGGAATATCAGCAGGGGCTTTATCGCGTGCCCGAGCATTAACGACGTCTGCGACAGAGCAGACCGGAAATCCTGGTGAACTGCGGGATCCCGTTCAAGGGATAAGTCGCGCGATTTCGTTTCGTCATTTTCCGGGAAAGAGAGGGAACGAGAAGGATCGGTTATCGTTTCCTGTCGCTGAACGAAAGATAAGTGCGGTTCACGGTATTCTTTGCTTGAAAGAAACCTCGGATCTGAAACCATTCACTTTCTGCCTTTGTGCTCGCGCTTCTTATTATGGAATCTTTAACCCTTTCGAATATGCAAATTGTTTTTGCGATTAAGTATACGATTATAATAAAAATAAATTTTAGGGGGAATATATAGGACTGAAGATTAATAAATTTTTTATTGGAAACTACTGAAAAAAAGGAACTGTTCCTTACTTGCGATTAAATATTACGTTCACGATTGTGGTAAAAATAAATTTACAAGGAATATATAGTACTGAAGTATAATAAATTTTTTATTGAAAACTGCGGAAAAAAATTCGAGGAATTGTTCTTGCGATTAAATACTACGTTTATATTCGTGGAAAAAATAAATTTTACAGGGAATATATAGGATTGAAAATTAATAAATTTTTTATTGAAAACTGCTGCAAAAATTCGAGGAATTGTTCTTGCGATTAAATACTACGTTTAGATTCGTGGAAAAAATAAATTTTATAGGGAATACATAGGATTGAAAATTAATAAATTTTTTATTGAAAACTGCTGCAAAAATTCAAGGAATTGTTCTTGCGATTAAATACCACGTTTAGATTCGTGGTAAAAATAAATTTTACAGGGAATATACAGGACTAAAATTTAATAAATTTTAATATTGAAAACTGCTGAAAAAAATTCGGGGAATTGTTCTCGCGATTAAATACTATGTTTACGATTGTGGTAAAAATAAATTTTATAAGGAACATACTTGATTAAAAGTTAATAAATTTTTTAATGAAAATTTGTGATCAAATTTTATTTGTTTATACGATTGCTTTGAAATTTAGTAAAATTAATAACTTTGTGATTATTTGAATTTTCAAGTGCAGTTTAGTTATTATTTGATTTAACATTTTTTTGGGGGGAATTTTGAGATACACGTTTTAGTAATATTAATAGAAACACTTAGTTATTTTGGAGACATCTAATATGAATAACATTGTGATGGAAATTCTTTAAGAAGAATTAAGTTTGTTCTTTAAGGAGATATTTTACATACGTAATTAAAATATCTCTCACATGTAACAAAAATCTTATTATACATTTTATTTTTTCAATACATAAGCATTGTTATTTATTGAGATCTTAATTCATTCTTCAGTATCAATTAACTATGCTACAATATTTTGAAATGTTATCGCAGCTTTATTTACAATATTCTACTTACATTCGAATTTATCAATCAACGTCAATACTGTAACTTCACAGACGATCATTTTACTTTTATCATGAAGTACAGCAAGGTACAAACTATCAATCAATACGTTCGCACAATCCTTTCGTAAATATACTTTTACAATGAAGAGTCTACTTTTTGTATTTTCTTGAGGGTATATTTACGAAGTCAACTTTACAAGATATTTCATAAATAAACTGCAAAAAGAATATTTTATAAATAAACTTCACAAGTAGTGTATAAATGAACTCTTATAACAGAGTTTGGTAAATTAGTGATAATGAAGAGTGCACTTCATAAATGAACTTTTGCAATCGAGAATCTGTTTCATAAGTGAATTTATGATGAAGAATATATTTTTTATATTGACTTTTGTGATAAGAAATCTTTTTTAATATTTATGATAATTACAATGAAGTATAGTGTATAATTATTAAAATAATATAACACAGTCGATATAGTTTTTATAACTATACATATATATTTTTTTTTATTTATAATTATACATTTTAAAAGACTTTTTACTTGCATTTACATCTACACATATGTGGCTCGTTCATTCGTTTGCATTTAAATTTATAAATTTCTGAAACGCTCTATTTATTTATATCTTTACTAATAAGTTTTAGAATCATATTATACGTGCATTAAATAAGAAATGTTTAATTTTCCGTAATAATAATATTAATGATTTAAGTAGATAATTGCAGTAATTAAATTTGACTGATGTCACGGTTTAAATATCGTGACAGTTAAAATTTTTGACGAAGGAAATTTCGTTCTGACATAAATATTTCATTTATATTAATAGGGACCTTTAATTATTTCGATGGCAACGTGATAATTATGAAATTAACGGAGAAATTTCATTTTGTCATATTAGTGTCAGTTACTTTGGAAAATTCCGTGTAACACGGATAGCTTTTAATTTTAATTGCTGCAGTATTTTGCATGGTATTCTCCGTTTATGAAACTAAAGAAATGAAATTAGTTTCACTGTTGCAGTCTTGCAAATGTCAAATTTTATTTAATACTATAAGATTATTTATTACATTATTTTCTTTTTAGTGGTATTGTACTGGAGTGAAGATAGAACAAATTAAATTAAAAATAAATTATCTTCACCCTCTTTTTTCACAGCTAAACCAGGAGCTAATCTGATTAGTGTAAGCTAGTAAATTTCGTTGATAACATTAAATATTAATATTTAACACAACCCTCCGTCTAATGCACAGAATTTGAAATCAAAAATAAAATAGAAAAATAAATAAATGAATTTAATATACATTCATTTTTCTCAGTAAAATTTGCAAAACAATCAAATGACTCGATACAGTTAATCTCAGATAATTATGTCATCTCATCAATGACATCTCAATTACGAAATTAAGAAGAATTCGAAGTATCCATAAACCACCGTAATTTACCGTCGGATTATAATACCGAAGAGATATTGCAAATTAATAAGTTCTTCGTTGGAATGTTGTTAGTCAAGAGTTTCGAATTTGACGAATTTTCTCGGGTCTGAAGTTTCACATGCTGGTGGGTGGGGAAAATTCCTGAAACTTCAACGTAACACGAACATAACCCCGTGTGAACTCGTTCCACCCTTATGTAATTAAACACCTGTTCGTCTCGCGAACCGGTCAGTCACGTGTTACCAACTACCTGACTTCCTTCTGTTACAGTTTCTCAGATCGGCGACACCTGTTTCAACGGTATTCTTGAAATGCGACAGGTGTCGCTATACTAACTCATTACTTATAACGATTTCACTATTCGATTCGAAAACATCGTTTATAGATACTCTTGAGATCGTAATGACTAAACACGTATCTTCATTTATGAACATTAGCTTGATTGTTGTTTGCTTATTCATTAATTCAATTATGAATATGGGAATAATAATATGGATTCCAACTTTTGATAGTTTTGGAGATCTGTATGGTCAGATTTTGAATTTTCAAGTTTTCAATTTTTCAAGTTTTTAAGTTTTCAAGTTTTCAATTTTTCAGGTTTTCAAGTTTTTAAGTTTTTGAGCTTTTGAGTTTCTTATTTTTCAAATTTTCAAGTTTTCAGGTTTTCAAGTTTTCAAGTTCTAAGTTTCAAGTTTCAAGATTCTAGTTTCAAATTTTAAATTTTTCAAGTTTCCAATTGTTCAATTTTTCAATGTTTCAAATTTCCAATTGTTCTATTTTTCAATGTTTCAGGTTTACAATTTTTCAATCTTTCAATTCTTTAATTTTCCAATTTTTCAAATTTTCAAGTTCGAAGTTTAAAGTTTCCAATTTTTCAAGTGTTCAAGTTTTCACGTTTTCAATTTTTCAAGTTTTCAAACTCCCAAGTTTTCACGTTTTCAAGTTCTCGAGTTATCAAATTTCCATCTTTCTGAATTTTTCAACTCAGACAGTTTACAATTTCTTAAGTTGTCAAACTTCTGCACCTTCAATTCTTCAGATCTTCAAATGTTTACACTTTCAAGTCCCTAGATATTCCTAAAACCCTCACAAAATTTCCAAGATTGTACCGACTCCGGAATGCCCGATTTCCCT